GCCTTTGACTCTATTGACAGACATAAACTTATCAACAAATTGGAATTTTGTGGACTAGACAAGCTCTCCCTTGACTGGTTTAGAAGTTATTTAGAAGACCGAGTGCAAGTTGTTACAATCGATGGTGTCACAAGTAATAAAAGAAACATTGAATTCGGTGTGGTCCAGGGAAGCAATCTTGGGCCTTTGCTCTTCCTGGTTTATATAAATAATATATCAAAACTAGAAACAAGAAGCAAATTATTCTTGTTTGCAGATGATACGGCAATGGTGACTACAGGCTGCACGTGGGATGAGGTGTATGAGCGGGCATCGTCCGACTTACTTAAGTTGAAAAATTGGTTGGATCATAATTCTTTAACTTTAAACGTATTAAAAACTAAATGTCTTCCAATTTTTTTAAAGAAGGAAAGTGATCCGAGCCCGCGTCATTTACGTTTGCACTCCTGTGGTGATCCGTCGTCACGTGACTGTGATTGTAACGTCATCGAATGTGTGTCACAATACAAATATTTGGGCATAATTATGGACGAAAAATTAAGCTGGGTTCCTCACGTGTGGTATGTCAAGCAGAGGCTTAGAAAATTAGTATATGCATTCGATCAGCTGGGCCAGGTGCTGACGGTGGATCACTGCAGGATGGTGTATTACGCCTATGTGCAGTCGGTGTTACAATACGGTGTCCTGGCATGGGGTGGCGTCTCGTCAGCTGTGTTAGAGCCCTTATTCATCTCACAAAAATCATTGATTAAAAAAATTCTTAAAAAACCTTTCCGTTACTCAACAGACCAGCTTTTCCTTGACTTTCCAGTACTAAACGTCAGACAGCTTTTCATAAGAACATTATTATTATTCATTAAATCCAATAAAGAACAAATATTTTCTGAGATTCACCATAGGTACCATACAAGAAATCGTTTAAACTTTGGCTTCAGTTGCCCAAAATCTATTCTTACGACCACTAACAAAAATTCATTTTATATTGCTCACGTCCTGTACCGTAATCTTCCAACAAACATTATTGAGGCTGAGAGTTGCAGTGTTGCTGTTTATAAGCGGATGATCGGCGAGTGGCTCGCGCACATCGGGCGGGCTGCTGCAGAGGCTTTGATCCAGTCGGTCTATATTACAAACGTCTGATATTGTCATGATTCAGTCATCGATCACATTTTTTATATTTATATATATTTTTTTATATTTTACTTGTAAAACATTGTAATCCATATTGTTTCTGTATGGGATTCAGCCCATTGTGTTGGAATAAATACAATGGGCTGAATCTTGTACAGGGTAGTGGGACGTTGTGTTTAATGTTAAAAAGTAACTCACCTCATTTTAGAATTAAAATTTTGTTAGCATTTGAAATACAGTTATTTAGTTTAGAGCTTAGACTTATTTAGTTTATGTGTTTAAAATAAAAAAGTGCAGTGACTCGAACAATTTTACAATACCCATAGACTGATGATATTGTTAACTCTTCCCCCGATCACGGATCAATAGTCTATTCGGGGGAATAATTCCTTTTACTTACTACAATGTATTGTAATATTGTTTTTATTTTATGGAATAAATAATTTTGACTTTGACTTTGACTTTGAATGTCACAAACTGTTTTTAAAAATCTTGATCCATTCAAAGTTATGAGAGCTTTTTATAACTTGATTTTTAGCCCATTTTAACATTGTGCATTTACAAACTAAGACCATAATCTCAAAATAGTGCTAGATAAAGATAAGTATACACCACCAGTCATTGTCGACCTATTTTCACTTGGTTATGACGGATGAAATTTTTTCGGCCGCCATCTTGGATCCGCCATTTATAAATGAGATAAATATTTTAAATATGAAGGGGGTGTTGTGACTCATCATTTAAAATTACTTTTTAAAGCTACAGTCTAACCTTGATATAACGAACCTCGATATAACGAATTCCTTGATATAACGATTTTTTTTTAATCCCCTAGAACTCTCCATAAGACACAATGTATATTTTACCTCTACATAACGAACAAACCATAACAACGACCTTGATTTAACGAATTTTTCGTGATTTCGGCTAAAATAAGACACCTCAATATAACGAATTTATCATTGTCAGAACCTCTACATTGCGAATTTAACCTCTGCATAACGAATTGTCTACGTATTTCCCTCGATATAACAAATCCCCCACCCAATTATTGTTTTGGGAAAATCTGTTTCTTTATCAAATGAAATGGAAAGGTCACGTCATCGCTTGCGCTAACATTCGTCTGCTCCGTTTTACATCTTTGTCTGCTGTCACTGCGCGCGCTATGTTGCAATTAAGAACTGATTTCATTCACTGAGGACTGATGACGACGTAATGTTTAGTAAGCTATGATTGGGCGATATGGGATAAATATGGTGAATTGTACAATTTTTGGATAAAGAGACACCTAAGAAAGAATATAAAAACAAAACCAAAGAGTAAGAATAGCAACATCGTTATTTTAACATTCCTTTTACGAGTGTTTTTATTATCCTTAAGTTGGCTATGATTATACACTTTTATAATTACTTATCTAATAATTTATTGTTTTCAATTTCGATTTGTTTCAACTAGCAACACCAATGCTATAGTTAATGATTATTATTGACATTCCTCTGTTGTGATAAATCAGTACTGTACTGTAAGTAGCCTACCGGCCTATCAGGAGCAGTAGCTTACAAAACTTTCTACTGTTTTGTTTTGTTCTTTACATGGTTTATGACTACGCAATACAGTGTTTGGCTAGGTTTTAGGAGGGGTAGAACAAGCTGTGATTTTAAACTTACAGTTGTTAACCTGTACCAAGGTCAATACCATTTTCATGATTGCGAAATATTCAAGATCCCTCCCCTTTATTATGCCGGATAATTTAGGTTCTACTGTACAATGTTAACACTGTACTGTAAAGTATTGTAGCCTATGCTACTTTAATTGTACTGTATTTAATGAGGTCAAATCCCGACCTATATTGACCGACGCTGGTTCTGAACCTCGACTTAGCGAAATTTCTGCAAACCTAACCTCTATATAACGAACCTCGTTTTAACGAAATCCTTGATATAACGAATATTCAGTTCGGTCCCTTCAGATTCGTTATACTGAGGTTGGACTGTATTTGTTGTCTGTTGCAACAAGTGACGCGGTGTCAGTTTGCGTTGGTTTTCTCCGTGTGCGCCCTGTTGCGGAAGTCCTAAGCCGGGAGTTTATTTCCTTATGTGCTCTTCTGTGTTAGAGGTGACTGTTTTAGTTGTGTCTGTTAGTGAAGTGTGCTATATAACTATTTGGTGTTCCCGTTTTAGCGAATTTCCCTATAGGGAAGTAGCTATTACCGTAGGTGGCACAGTAAGACCTAGACCCGGGACCGATTTACTTTTTCATTTTGATGTCCCCAGAGACCAAAAACACCATTCGTTCAAATTTTTATATATGTATATACATATATATATATATATATATAGACTTTTATATATATCTATCTATACTATTATAAAAAAGAGGTGGTTGCTGTATGTGTGTATGTGTGTATGGGAAAAGTAAACTCGAAAAATACTGGTCGGATTGGGCTGAAATTTGGCATGATGATAGCTCACATTCCCGATTAACATATAGGCATATTCTTATTTCAAAAATCCTTTCGGGCTCCGCCCCAGTGGCTCTGGAGTTTCCCATGTTAACCTTATGAGAAATGGAATTATTGAATCTTAACAGCTGTTTCAATTAAACAAGTTGGTTCTGTTCTATGATGTTCAATAGCATTAAAGTTACAAGGATTACCAACAGGGTGCAGCACTATTATTTCTTTTACATTTATGACAACAGCTAATTTGCAACCAAAAGGTGAGTGAGCGTAGCGAACGAACTTCAACCTGGAGGCGAGTTAGCGTAGCGAACGAGCTAACCTGAAGGCAAGTGAGCGCAGCGAACGAGCTCCAACCTAAAGGTGAGTGAGCGTAGCGAACGAGCTCCAACCTAAAGGTGAGTGAGCGTAGCGAACGAGCTCCAACCTAATGGTGAGTGAGCGTAGCGAACAAACTTCAACCAGGACGTGATTGAGCCATGCGAACGAGATAATCTTGAAAATTAAGAAGTTAAACGGGGCAAAGCCCGCGGGTTACAGCTAGTATATATATATATATATATATACTAGCTGTAACCCGCGGGCTTTGCCCTAGGTTATATATATACGATATATATACGTCCGTGAACGCGATAACTTGAGTAATTTTTGTCCGATTTTGATGAAATTTGGTTTAAAGGTGTAAAGCGGGATAAACTTGAATGAGTTCGCGAACCAGCACGATCAGACCATGGGAACGGGGCTTTACGGGGGGTTTTATGGGGTAAAAATTGGTTTTTCTCACTTTTGACCCTCAAAACACAAAATTTCCCGATTTCTCTTTAGACCTTTTTAAAGAGCTTAAAAAAACAAATAATTTAGTATATAAAAGTATTTTTCTTCGATTATTAGTAACGGAGAAAATTAAAAAAATTGTAAATTTAAAATTCCCATGTTATTCTTATGGAGAATATTGTCAAATGTTGTAGTTTGCTTGTTTATGGATATATTTTGATCAAACTTGGCAAATTTATTTATTTTTTACTAAGCTATCAATATTTTACTCAAAAACACACTTTATTAGTTTCCTTGTAGCAGCAAACCTAGGTACTCGTTAAACCTAATGTTATTAAAATATATTTAACTGAAAATCAATTCAGACAAATGGAAATTCGCTTAGTCAGCAGGTTTGCTGCGGCGGGGGTATTTTATATTAGACTGATGCCACTATGGATTTTTTAGAAAAGGAGAAATTACGAGGATAGCTTGATAGTGTCGAACGGGAAGAAAGAATATAAGAAATACAACCAAAACAAGATTTTGATTACGGTATTACTCATTTAGTTGAGACTTCATTTATGTACTTTAATTTAAGTACTAGCTGTCAAATGTCCAAAAAAGATGTGAAGCCAGTTTAGAGTTTTCTTTTAACCTGTTCAGAAAGATGACTCTGCAATTGTAGGTAGCGTTTTTATGCATGACAGGCATTCCTACATCTACGATGATGTCTTTGCAGATCGGACTGATGACAAGTTCTAATAGTACTTCCCAGGAGTGGAGTAGAGTGTCTCCCTCTAGGAAGTGATCCTCACAGTGATATCCGCTGGAACATAAACAATATTTGTTGAATAGTGGGTTTTAATGCAGTTCAATTGTATTGAGGAGGGAATTTTAGAAAATTATAGAGTTTAGCTAGGTTAACGGATAAAATTAGTCCAGGGTCACTAAAGAGTGAATTATCCTGTTTAGACTTACAACTGTCTCTTTCATTTCTGGTGCTGATGTTCCTGGATTTGTCAGAGTTCCTTAAAAGTGACCATAACCGTTACATTGGAAACACGACCCTTGTTACCTTTGCTATCTTGCCTTTTCTTGTCTTCGGTGGGTGTCCTTTGGCTTGAAGTGTTGTGTCTGTAGCTGTTCTGAAAACTTGGCTTTGAATTTTCTCTTCGACCATAACCGTACATTGCAATGCATTTGGAAGATTCATTTTCCACGGATACATCTTGAAGTAGTTTAGTTTTGATTTAATCAGCTGTTATCCTTGACACCAGAACTTTCAATACCCATGATCATTGGTTGGAATTGATCCGGTAGTCCAGCAAGTAAAATTGTTCCTACCCACTCATCATCCACTTTCAGACCAATGTTGGTTAGCTTGTGGGCTGTTGATACGATTTGATTGACATAATCTTCTATGGACTTACAATTTTCTAGCCTTGTTGTTGTTAACAATCGCAGCAAACACTCTTCGGGTCAAACCCCTGTCAGAAAATGCCTTTTCTAAATTTTCCCAGGCTTCCTTGGCTGTTTCTGCTGATTGAACATGGACATAGTTGACTGAATCAATTAGCAAGATCATTTTGGATTTGCATTTTGTCACTTTCTTTCTATCTTCTTCCGTTTCCAAAATACAGTCCCAGAGCTCACAATCTTCCAAATATGCTTGAACGGCAACTTTCAACACATTACAACAGTAAATACCTAGGAGTAATTATATCTAACCAAAATACTGATGAACTAGAAATCCAAAGCCGAATAAATTCAGCAAATAAATGTTTTCATGCTTGCAATAAATTACTTTCATCCAAATCTTTGTCCCGCAAAACAAAAATCAGGCTGTACAAAACAATAATTTGCCCAGTTCTCCTATATGGATCAGAAACCTGGAAATTAAATAAAAAGGATTAAAAGAAACTAATAGTATTCGAAAATAAAATGTTAAGGAAGATTTTTGGACCAATATTTGAGCAAGGAGAATGGAGAATAAGACACAATAGGGAACTAAGGCAACTGTATTATGGCAAAGATGTAATTGGAGAAATCAAGTGCCGAAGAATCAGATGGGCTGGTCATATATTAAGAAGATTGTAGACTGGGAAGAGTTTTAAAGGGAAACACTACAGGAAGGCGACCCCGGGGAAGACCTAAGCAGAGGTGGTGGAAGCAAGTGCAAGAAGATTTGGAGAGAATTGGGGCAACGGAGGATGATGCAAAAGACCGGTCAACTTGGCGAAGATTTGTTGGTGCGGCCAAATATCACCTCCGATATAAATGGCCCTGGGAGTAAGAGTAAGTAAGTAATGGTATGGATAATAACACTGCCATGATAATAAACATAGAACAATTACGTCACTAGCTTACTACAGTAGACCCCCTCTTAACCGACCCTAATGGGACCGGACCTAAGTCGCATAACTCAAAAGGTCGGTTAAAATGGACAATCCCTAAAATCATAACATAATTAAGTGCTATTCATTTGGAATTATATAATCATTATTTTAAAGTCATACTTGCGTTATTTATAAAATCTCCTTTTATCTCCTTTTATCTCCTTTTTCGTATTGGTAAAAAAGTCACAAAGACAAAACACGGTTAAGTCAAATAGGCCTACTTTCAGAGGAATATACTACTAGGCAAGAGTCAATAAAAATTCCTATTTTAATAACTTTAGTACTGTCATGTCAATTGATGCTTTCCAAATCCATCGTACAGTACAGATCCTTTTGTCGAAATTAAAGATACAAGCAACCATTTTGTTGCAAGACAGGATGTTTATTTATAGCCTCTCACTGGAGGCTTGAGGCACAAAAACTATCTTGACCTTGGAGTTGTTAACCCCCCTTCGCCCCCTTCCCTGCCTTCCCTACAAGTTGCTTGTTTGTTTACTCCAGCGATAAGATAATCAGTTCTCAAAATCGTAACGCACTTTATGATGTTATAAATTTGCCGCACAGATAACAAATCAGATCAGATCAGAGATGCTCGCTACAAACATACAGATGACAAACTGACAATAGGCTATGCTATATTTTTTTGTAATCAATACAAAATAACTTATTCTTAGTCATATTCTGTGGAGGTAAGCGTATGGTTCAGTTCTCATCGCCCAGCGTGGAAGCGGAAATGCCGAGATTCCTAGAAAGCGGCAGTTAAACCGAACTGCTCTCAAAGCAAGGTATTATTAAAATTATATTACACTGTATTATTTTACGATTGAAGGCGGATAATCTGATTATCGGTTAATACGAGGTCGGTTAAGAGGGGGTCTACTGTAGCATGTTAACTTTTATTTATTCCTTTAACAGGTGACAAGTTCTTTTTTCAAATGAATTTTATTTTAATTAAACATCTGTTAAAAACAATATATCTGTTATTGTCTTTACTTTTCATTGTTTACTAATTTATTAAGCAATTAATGCAGTGAAATTGATACAAAGGATAGGCATGGACGATTTATTTAATAATATCAGGAATATTGTTCCAAAGTTTATTTTTGGATATTTTCTATCATGATGGTAAAAAACAATAGGCCTACACAACATTTCGGGATCTGGAATCTGATCCCGTCCTCAGGTGAAAAAAACTTCAATTCAATTCAATTCAAAACATCTTTATTCATTAGTATATATTGTATATACAAGAATGGTGTCAAATTCATCGTTACATAAAATATAAACACAAATAAAAGACAAATACAATACACAAGAACAAAACAACAAAACAATGCAGTCATCTCTCAAGTAGGTATAAAACAAAAGTATACTTCAGTGAAAACAAAAAACAAAAATATAGTTCAGTGAAACAGCAATAGGCCTAAAACATTTTAAGTCAATGCTGTTATTCCTTAGCCCAGAAATCTTTGAATTTATAGAGAGCATCTTGTGTCAAATGTAATTTTAGAGCGTTTTAAAATCTGTTGTCATCTGTTTCATTTTTTATTTTTATTGGTAATTGATTAAAAAATTGTATTCATGATGGTTTTTGTTTAAATATTTCTTTTTTATGCTTATTAATTTGGAAATTATATCGGTTTCTTGTGTTGTAATTATGATTATCGACGTTTCTAGTAAATGTTGAAATATTACGTTTAACATAAAGAACAGTTTTGTAAATATAAAGGCTATAAACTGTCATGATACCCAATCCAATAAAATGTTTTTTACAGTGTGCATCAAAATCCAATTTAAGCATTGATCTTATTGCATCTTTTTGAAGATGTAAAATTTTTTTGAGGTTAAAATTTGATGTTGCTCCATATACTTCAAGACCATACCCAATATGGGTATGGACCATTGAAAAATACAATGATTGCAATGTTTTGATGCCACAAAAAGAGGACAATCTCTTCAGAGCAAAGACTCCTGAGCTAACTTTTGAACAGACCTCATTTACATGATCTGACCAAGACAGTTTTCTATCCGGTAAAATACCAAGGAACTTTGACTTTTCAGCAAGGTCAACAGTATTAAGGCAGTCTGTTGGTTCTGTATCATTCCTTGAATTACCATTTTTACAAGAGAATTTAATTATTGTTGTTTTATTTTTATTAGTTAAAAGGTTCAAGTTACTTAGTCTTTCGTTAACTTTGTTTGTTGCTAGGGATAATTGATCAAAAACATTATACTTCTATTGCTACTAGCTATCGTTAGATTAATATCATCTGAAAAAATACAAAATTTATTATTTAATGTTAGATTTGAAAGACATTCTGGTAACTTTCCTAAATACACAAGGAATAGGAATGGTCCCAGGACTGATCCCTGGGGAACGGAATATTTAATTAATCTAGTTTTTTACTTTATTTTAAATAATTTATTGCCATTGAGGTGTTTAGTTTCCACATATTGCCTTCGAAATATTAGGTATATGATTTTAATAAAGCTAAATCTTTGCCAATTATTCCATTAGAAGTTAGTTTTTCTAGTAAAATAGAATGGGATACACTGTCAAACGCTTTAGTCAGATCTAGAAATGCAGAAACAGTATGGTCACCTTTGTCTAATTTATCCACAATATGTTCAACAAAAGCTATGACTGCAGTGATAGTTGATTTATTTTGTCTAAAACCATGCTGTTCCGAATCTAATAAGCTATTTTTTTCAAAATAATCAGTTAGTTGCATCAACATACACTTTTCAAAAAACTTTGATAATGATGGTAGGATTGAAATAAGTCTGTAGTTGGCAGGATCCTTCTTTTCACCCTTTTTAAATATTGGAATAATTTTTGATACTTTTAATTCTGTGGGAAATACTCCAGATATCAAAGAAGCATTTATAACATGCAGTAGAGGCTTAAGAATTGCTCTTTTTGAAGCCTTGATGACTTTTGTTGGGATGTCATCATATCCAGATGACCACTTGTTCTTTACTGAATTAATTATTTTATCTAACTGTTCCTCAGATATAGTGTGAAACTTAAATCTAGACTTATCAGCAATAACAGCATTGGACTGCTTGGGGCTATCCCCAAAGGAATCTTTATTAGTCAAATTTGGAATTATTGTGCTGTCAACTAAGTCAGCATAGTAATCATTCATTATGTTGACAACTTCCACAGGGTCAGTAACAGAATTTCCATTATATTTTAAAATAATCTGGGATGGTAAATTAGCAGAATTTCTTCCAAGTTCAGTATTGATTAAATTCCAAGTAGTTTTTGCTACATTTTCAGATAAAGTGATTTTATTGTGAAAGTATTGTTTTTTCTTTTCAATTATGAGTTTTTTTAACCTTCTTTTTTGCTGCTTTATGTTCAATTTAACTGTCACATTTTTATTATTCCTTTTGTTTTTACAAGCGTTTAATAAGTTTTGCCTTTCTTCTTTGATCTCTCTATCTATCCAATTCTTAAATCCGTGTTTTGTACGAACATTAGTCACAGGAAAATTCTTATCAAAGTAAAACCTTAGAATATTGTAAAAAATGTATTTTTTTTATCAATAGGGGTTTGGTAAAGCTGTGTCCAGTTCTCAAATTCTAAATCTTTTATAAAACCATTAATGTTATTTTTGCTAAAAATCCTTTTTGATTCCAATAATATTTTAGGGTTATTGGATTTTTCTTTACTCATAGTATTTATTGTGAGCAATTGCCCATCATAATCTGAGAGTGCAGTTACTAAACACAGCACTTTAATATAGGCTTTGTCAATGTTAGTAATAAAGTTATCTATTGCTGTTTCACTTGTATCTGTAACTCTAGTTGGTATGTTTACTGTATAGTACATGTGTGCAACTTTAAAAAATTAACAAAATCTATTTTTCTGTTATCTTCAGACAAAATATCTATATTAAAATTACCACCAACGCAAATATTATTATTAATATCTCATAAGCAATGTAAAAGTTTGTTCACTTAACTAACAGTTACTTAACTAACACATTACAACTAACAATACACAAACGCCCAACCTAAGTTGGAATGTGGTATACTACAAAGGGTAGCAGTCAACAAATATGCACTGTATAGCACCATTGACATAGCAGTCAAGTCATGATAGGCCTACAACATGAAAATAAATATAACCAATGACAAAACACTATAATCTAGCCTCTATAAAAGGTGCAGTTTGGACAGCTCACACAATGGAATACTAAACACACAGTTCGCACTGTCTTCCCCTACACCTCATTAGTCTTCACCTCATTGGTGAAAACAGTGCGAACTGTGCGTTCATTCCTGCGGGCGTTTAGACATCATCGTCGTTTCCCACGGTCACGGAAACGTCATCGTCGTCTCTTGCGGTCACGGAAACGTCATTGTCGTCTCTGGCGGTCACGGAATCGTCAGTGTCGCCATCCGCGATCGCGGCAAATCATGAACATTTCCCGCGGCCGTTTAGACATCATCGTCATTTCCCACGGTCACAAAACGTAATCGTTGTTGTCCACGATCGCGCGGCAAAATTATGATTATTTCCCGTGGCCGTGTAGACATCACCATCGTCTCCCGCGTTACGGAAACGTCATCATCGTCTCTCGTGGTCACGGAAAAGTTATCGTCGTCTCCCGCGATTCCGGAAATGTCATCGTTATCGTCCGCGAATGCGGCAAAATCGTGAGCATCTCCCACGGCCGTGTAGACATCATCATCATCACTGTCTTTCGCGGTCACGTAAACGTGGTCGTCGTCTTGCGCGATCACTGCAAAATCATTAAAAATTCCCGACTTTGATATCAAAATAAAGACTAAATCCCGACTTTTCAAGACCATTTTGAAATTCAATACCTACTAATTCCCGACTTACTAGACACCCAGTCCTCCACAAATAACTTAACTTCAATCTTTAAAATAAGTTAAACAAAACGTTCACACAATAACTTACCCTACAATCGAAACGGTACAAACAACGCCACAACGTAATCTCCACCGCACGTAGCTCCTAGCTGTACTGACTGACGAGTGGTAAGTTTCTTTATAGGAGTGCGAGATAGAAGGCTTTTGTCGAGGACAAAAGTCACCGCGGCGTTTATATAACTAACTATAACAGCTTTAGGTCAACAACAAGTTAAGACAAAAACTTTAAGTCTGTGACATTTTGTCAGTGACAGTCCAACTTGATGGAAAACCTAAAATCGTGTCTTTGACAAAGTATTTCAGTAGCTGACAAGTGTCACTGAAACAATTGCGCAAGAAATTTTTGAAGTTGCTGACTTTTTGTCACTGACTCCAGTGTAAACTTACAACTCCAGTGTGGCTTTAGCAACTTGGAAGTTAATATTACTATAAACTTACTCACCATATCTCAAGTTCAGGCCCACTTCTATAAGTTGCTCCTGCCTCTTTGGCAGTCTGGATGCTCTGAAGAATGCGACTCAAATTTCCCTCAAAGTCCAGAGACCACTGGTTAAGTGTACAGGCCGCTAACGTTGCTTTACGCCCCATAATTATAGGCTACACAACAATCAGTGTCAGCTAACTGCAAGGTAAATTTTAAACACTATTTTAAAACAAGGATAGTTGCCTATAGGATAGAAGTTGCCTACATACAGACAGGGCTAAGTTACATAAGGTGCAGCTTAATTAGGCCATAACCTAAGCTAGACTATGAGGCATCTAAGTAAGTAGGCCTACATAATGTATGTAAGGCTAGGTTTTAATTGGTTGTTTTTATTTAATACCCAAATCAAATCAACATAGGCCATTAATTTATTGAATCAATTCATGCGATAAGACAATAGACAATAGACAAAGCTTTATTGTACATAACGCCTGATACAATAATTACAAATTAGTAATTCCCAAGCTGGTACATGGTCAATTTATATCTAGGTTCCTTAATCTACCCTGACAAGAGTAAAAACTATTACAATTTATCTTTAAAAACGTCTGAATTTTGTAATACGCTTTTTGGCTCAAAGTCTCTTTCAGTTTATATGTAAAATTTGATTTTGATTAAGTTCTGTATGAATTAGGTAAATGATTGTAGATTTTTAATCCCATGTAAAGAGGCCAAGTTTCAAATTTTGTGTGCGAATGTTTGGGATATTGAAAAGTTTTGTTATTATTTCTCGTTTGATAGTTATGATTTATTTTATATTTTTCAAAAAAGAAAGGATTTGCATGAACATACTTTGCTATTTCAAATAGGCCTATATAAAGAGAAGGTAATGTTAAAATGGAATGTTTTTTGAAAAAAGGTTTACAGCTTGTTTTAGACTTCTGGTGAAAAATAGTTCTGAGAATTGACTTTTGGCAAGTGAACACTTTCTTGGCCTCTGCAGAGTTACCCCACAGAGTGACGCCATAAGCCAGCAAAGAATGAACATATGCATTATATACTGTCAAGCAGACTTCTAGCGGCGTGACCTTGGATAGTACACTTAGTGAATACCTTGTTGACCTTAATTTTTTATTTAGATGATGAATGTGATCAGACCAAATTAATTTTGAGTCTAAATTTAGACCTAAAAACTTAACAATTTTTGTATTACTGATTGTGGTGTCTGTAACTCTGTTTCTGAGTTTAAATTGAAGAATGTTAGTACACATTTCATTCATTTAATTCATTTAATTTCAGGCCATGGCTCTCAAACCATTCATTGATTTCTTTAATTGTGCTGTCAAAAGTTAATTTAAGTTCACTTAGTGTTTTTCTTTTTAAAAGAGCAGTTGTGTCATCGGCATACAAAGTGAAAGCACAGGAATTTGTGGAAAGGCAATTAGGCAAGTCATTGATAAATAATAAAGGCCCAAGTATGGAACCTTGGGGAACACCATATGTAACGCTGGCCCAGTTAGAATAATATTTTATTGATTTTTTTATTACTATTGTGCGCTGCTTTTGATTGAATAGGTATGATCGTAATAATTCTAGTGCCATTCCCTCCAAGCCAATATTCTTCAATTTGATCAGCAGCAGCAACCTGTGGTCCACACAGTCAAAAGCCTTGGATAAGTCACAGAAAATTCCTGCAGTCAACTGTGACTGATCCAGAGCTTCAAGGACACTACTAATATAGTAAAAAGAGCATTATGTGTGCTTAGATTTCTTCTAAAACCAAACTGCTCTTGACACAGTTTTGAGTTACATTCCAGGTAATTTGCAATTCTAAGATGAATAATTTTTTTCAAAAATTGTAGATACATTACTGAGTAAAGAAATTGGTCTGTAATTTTGACTATTTTTATGTGTGCCTTTTTTTAAAATTGGTCTGATTTCAGACAATTTTAGCAAGTCTGGAAATTCACCCTCACTAAATGATTGATTGATGAGTCTAGCTATAATATCAGAAATAATGTCAGCAGTCCATTTCAATAATTTAGTGGGAATCTCATCCCAACCACAAGAATTACTATTACTTAAACTTAAGATAGCATTTTTAACTTCAAATTTGTTGGTAAAAGCCAAAAACTGTAATTTATCTGTATTGTCTGATTCTAAAGAGTTTTGACTGATGTACTTGTTATTGATGAAAGAGACATTTGGCACATTTGTCATTAAGAGTATTAGAGTATAAATCTTAATGATTTTAAAACTGCAATGATAGTAGCCTATTTAATTTTTTCATATAGCTTACACCAAAGGTAAAGGTAATATCGTAACCCTAGCCTCTGCAAGATCGCATAGCCATAAGTTAGATAAGTACCGGTACCTAACTTATAAAATATACACAGAGGATACGCATCCGGCAGTGACGTCACCGTGTTGTGGTGCCCGGAACACCATTACCACAACGATACGATGTTCAGCCGTCAGTGTTCGTGGTGTAGTAGATAGAGTGCTCGGCTGATATGTAAGTGGTCCCTGGTTCGAATCCCATCGGTAACCTTAACTTTTTGACTAAGATTTTGCTTTGAATGTCATTTCTTCTTAACTATACGAGGTGTGGCTAGAAAAAAACCGGACTAGTCCCGGTGAAACAATAAAACGAATGCAATAAGGCTGAAAGTCGCATGGCCTGTCACGTGACTCTTGCCCCGCCTACTGCTCGAGTTTCATCTGCCTTTTTTACTCAGTCTGCCCGTGGCGTCTGTTCTAAGAAGTTGTCGTTTTGTCTATGGGTCAGACCATTGTCAGCAAAAACTAATGCAAACATTGAAAAAATCGGTAAACTTGTTTGACAAGATCGCCGTTTAACACAATGTCTGAGTTGACAGGAACTGACAAGGAAAGTGTTAGGCAGATTCTTCATGAAAGTTTCAACATGAACAAAGTGTGTTCAAAAATGGTTCCAAAGTGTCTCACAATTGAACAGAAGGAACGCCAAAGAATGATTTGTTCTGACATCCTAGAAAACATTGAAAGTGATCCCACCTCCTTACAAAATGTTATTACTTGTGATGAATCGTGGTTTTTTACTTACGACCCCGAAACCAAACGCCAATCGATGCATTGGAAATCTCCTGCTTCTACACGACAAAAAAAGCACGAATGTCAAAATCGAAATTCAAGGCAATGATGATTGTTTTTTTTTATATCAAAGGGATTGTGCACATTGATTTGGTACCAGAGGGACAAACAGTGAATCAGCATTACTACATTAGCGTCCTGACTACCCTACGTGAGCGAGTACCGGTACGGAGAAAACGGAATGATTTGTGGAAAACAAAGTCATGGATCCTGCACCAAGACAATGCCCCAGCTCACAATGCGTTGTCAGTGAAGACGTTTTTAGCCAATAACAACATTCCCATCTTAGACCATCCACCCTACTCACCTGATTTGGCCCTCTGTGACTTCTTTCTTTTCCCCAAAGTCAGTCAGCATTGAAAGGAACTAGATTTGAGAGTGTTGAAGCAGTAAAAGAAAAAGCGACGGAAGTAATGTATGGACTTACCGAAAATGATCTGCAGCATTGCTATGAACAGTGGAAAATTCATATGGAGCGGTGTAGAGACCAAGGAGGAGAGTACATTGAAGGAGATAACATCAAATTGTAAATACATTTTTTTCAGAATCAGTCCGGTTTTTTTCTAGCCACTTACCTTGTACATCTTTTGTTAGATTTTTTGTATTTAATTTTATTTTATGAACAGAATTTAAGCTTAACTCGATTTGTCGTAAAGGCCACAAAACTATGGGTCTCCTTTGCAGAATATCTAGAGATCCCTTTCGTACAAAAACCTTGCTCAGCTTCTATTGTTCCTATGTACGCCAGCAATTGGAATATTGTTCCGTTATCTGGTCACCTTACCTCCTGGGCCAATGCGATAGGCGTGAATCCACCCAGAGAAGATTTGCTCAGTTGGTGGGAACAAAGCTCGGATTCGGATACTTGGAGTCTCCTGTTCCTGACATCCTAACTGATCTAGGCCTCACTCCACTTAAGTTTCGACGGAAAGTGGCGGATATCAGTTTTTTCCACAATTTATTAACGGGTGCTATCATTTGTGAAGAGCTCCTAGAACAAATTGAATTCCGCGTTCCCAATCGAACCAGATCACGTGAATTATTCTACAAGAGATCTTATCCACAACTATCTACAACACTCTCCTCTTCCCAGATTGATGCGTCTTGGCAACACGGTAGCTTCTCATCTAGATTTCTTCGATGGCCTGAGCCCAGCTACCTTCAAACGGAGAGCGACTTCCATTCTTCAATACAACTAGCTTCAACGCAAACTAGAAATCATCCGTGGGGAAGTGTTCACGGTGGTTTAGTGAGTCTGTCAATAGTGTGGGGTCAAAGGGGGATCCGGGGGTTGTGCGTGTGTTGGCATCGGTTTGCTGAGGGAAATGCTTGGGCCTACCTCCGTCCTACTCAATCCTGAACTCGTACTCTATCCTGAACTCCTGCATCAATCTTTGCATGTTTCCAGCAAACTTTCTATTTATTGCATTGTTATTTATTTTTGTTAATATAGTCTATCCTGTTGTAACTGTTGTTATCTTGTTCTTGTACAGAGTATATCATATTGTTATTTTTCTGCAAGTTTTATCTGTTTTTCATCAAGATTGTTCTGCCTCTTTACCAAAGTTTTACTCGGTTTTTTTGCACTGCTATCATTTGTTTGATGTTGTTGTTGTTATACTGGTTTTGTTTTTCGAATCCCTTGTTTTGTTAACTTGTTCAGATAGTTTGTTATTTATAGTTTGTTACTTATAGTTTGTTACTTAGGCTATTTATAGTTTGTTATTTAGCCTATAGGCCTAGTTGTTGTTGTTATTTATCTTTTAAGTTATGTCTTGTTATTGAAGTCTTGTTTTCCAGTTTTTTCACTACTTTTGTACTGGCCTGTGATAATCGCAAAGACACTAGTCTATGTTTTTCCTCTGCTTCTTTTTTCTGTAAGACCATTGAATTTTTCTTGTAAAAAATAGTGCAACCGTTTAACTTATAAAAAAATAAATTAATTCCATTTGTTCATTAACTTATCAGCAAGTTTGGTTGGTTAGGTTAGGTCATCTCCATTCATTGGCTTAAAATACCTAAATACTTTGTTTATTCACCAAAAAGTATAAAAGTAAAAATATAAGGCCTAAAAGTATTAAAGTATAACAGTATTTGCCGGACGCCTAATCCACGTCCGGTTACCGGTTGCACACGAATACTAGAAAAATACCGGTAGGCCTATGGATCATAAACATAAACAAATGATGTTTTTTGCCCGAAAATAAACATTATTTAACATTGCTTAAATGGAACTGCCAAATCATTATGTTCAATGCTATTATAGTATAGGATTCGGGCCAACGTCATTTGTGTATGTTTGATCCATACCGGTATTTTTCTAAAAGGCTATTCGTGCGGACGCGTATCCTCTGCGTAAAAAATAAGTTACACACAAGTTACCCCGTTACCGTTAGGCCTAGTGTATGGCATAGCCTACGAAATAAGAACAAACAATAAGTTTATGTGAAATAAACTTTATGCTCACCTGTCACTCATAAACTTTTGGCCGAATACGATAAGTTATTTTCTAAAATGTCAGTATTTTTATGTAAGATATCAGAGCACTAGAGTAATAAGGCCTAAGTAGACTAAGTTACCGGCTTCATCAAAGTGGTAACAACTAGTTTTATTTGTAGGTAGATGGTAGATAAAAATGTATGTATTGGTATAGGTTTGGTTTGAAAGAAAAGACAACAGACGACGAATAAAACCAAGAACTGAAACAGAAACGAGAAACATTCACCTTGACAACGCAATAACATCCCAAAACAAAACCGAAACGAAACGAAACTTTTTTGAGCTTCGCTTCAGCTTGAGTTGAGCTTATCCACTCCTGGGGCCCTATTTTTGAAATGGTTGACAGTTGAGTCAATCGTCAGCACTCAACTCAACCAACAACATGATTTGGTATTTTTGAAACCCAACAGTTGGGAAGCGAGTTGGGAATCACTAGTTGAGAGACTCGTGGTGGAAATGTAGAGCATACGACCGTCAAAAATTCAGATGACGTCATTTTGAACCAATCACAATGCAGAGTTCTTGCGGACTTCGATTTAACCTCTTCTTACTCTAAAATCTGGCAGCTAATCTCAATCTGCCATATTTCGAGACACTGAGGTAAACAACTGTCAACTCCGTCCGTTCTTGAGAGATTGAGGTTATGTCTTGCTTAATCTTAGTGATTGCAAAGTACCTTAACTTAAGTAATTAACTAAAGTAAACTAAATAAAGTAATAAACTTAAGTATAAAAAATAAAATTTACTATGGATGTTTGTTTTAGGGTGTAGCTAATTATAAGTTTAGGCATAGGCTGCACTTTACTAAATACTCATCCTAAATACATTATTATTTGCTTTCTTCGTCTCTATTTCGGAACACATCACCTTATTTTAGTTTCCTTCATCGGTTTGTTTTATGTTATTTTTAATTGTTTTTTATTTAGGTTAAAGCGGCTATTTGCCATTGCACTGAAAGCATATCGTAACTTAAATTAGTTTGATCCCTTTATTAGGTGAATGGTATTGAAACAAACTATGATATTGTTTCTCTCTACCACAATCTTTAATACCTTAAATCATAGGTCTAATAACAATAATTATCTTATAATAAGTTCAATTAGTATGCCTAGTCTATTTCAAACATTCCAACAAGAATAAAACCCTTGATTAAATAGTCTAGTATTGACACAGTAAATAAAATTAAAATGCGATTATTCTACAGAAAACAATCGCATAATTGGGTGCTAATACATTGACAACAAATACATAACCTCTAAATCGCAATTAGTAAATTAAAGCAATAACAAAACAATATGGCGTCGTCTCAAAAAGAGTAATTTTTTGCCGAAAGAGAGGAAGAAGAAAGTGCAGTCAACCTCCACTCAACAGCTCGATAGGTGTTGAGTAGTTTTGGTTGTATAAGTCCACCGTCAACCGTTTCAAAAATACGAAACGATTGGAAATAGAATGACTCGACACTCAACTCAACAGTCAACCATTTCAAAAATAGGGCCCCAGAACCACACCACACTGAAGCCTGGTTTACACGGGTCGAGTACGGCGGGCGAGTCAGTGTGCGAGTTGCCACTCGCTCTTTAGCTCGCTTGGTGTAGACATGCAGGCGAGTCGAGCAACGGGCGAGTTGATAAAAAGAGGTCAGTTGAGAGCGAGTCGAGTGATTTAGTTGAAAACCGAGTTGCTCGGCCCAGTAGCTACCCCCACCACCACAATTTGCCCGCAAAACATCTGTTTACTGCTCTCAAGTGAGTCCAGCGACCACAGAATATTTTTTTTTTTTAATTTGTGGTCGCTGACAATGTTTTCTAAAAATGTTTTCTATCAGAAATACATTGAAAACGGTGTTTTCACATTTTTTTTATTTGGAGGCAACTTTTGGTTGCCTATATATTTTATTTAAAAAAAATGCAGTACCGGTATAGTAATTTGTAACAAATCTTATTCTTTTAGAATATCACCTTCCACTTTGGTCCATCGTATTTGCAAAAAAAAAAAAAATTTAAGCAACCCCTGAATTTAATGGATCATTCAGTTTTAATTCTAATAATCTAATTCAGTGATTTAATCAATTTATAAATTCAGCATTGAACTCTTGAAGTCCCATTTTAAACTCAAACAACATTTTTAACACGAAAGCTACGGTATACGGAATACCCTACACCACAGAACACAAACAAATTATAAAAATTTCTTCTCTGTGCCTACACTGTCGCTGTTCGAAATAGGAATGCGTGGGGTCTGACTTAGGGGAGGTACGAATGAGGCATTTAGTTCAAAATTCCTCCGCGAACAGCGCTGTAGTAGAGAGCACTTTGTCAATGAAGGTTTACTATTCGCAAAAATAGTTCTGTTCATAAAATAAAATTATAAATGCCTCAAATTCAATTTTATAATTTTTTAATTATAAAATTAAACTACCATAACCTAACCGAACTAACCAAACTTGCTGATAATTAAATAATATAAAAATGATTAGAATAGAAAAAATAATTATGTTTATTAAATAAAACTAGAAATTGCTCAATTAAAATTTTATAATGACTTAATAATAAAATTAAACTGTCATAACCGAACCAAACTTGCTGATAATGATAAAATCTGAGACAAAAAGTTACTGCAACCAGCGAGATTCGAACCCGGGACCTTTAGCACGCCAGCCCGGCACGCTAACCACTAGACCACCGAAGCCGTTGTCCACAACTCGTATTGTAACGGTAATAGCGTTCCCTCAGCTAATAAGAAGCCCACAGCTGTCATCGTAGCCTCTTCCGTACCTCCCCTGAGTAAATACCGGAATGCGTGTAGACAGTCTAGTCAAGTACCGGGCGAGTTGAACAAATCAACAACTGGGCCTAGTAACTGGGCCGAATAACTCGTCTGAAATACTCGACCCGTGTAAACCAGGCTTATGGGTCTGACTTAGGGGAGGTAGGGTCTGACTTAGGGGAGGTACGAATGAGGCATTTAGTTCAAAATTCCTCCGTGAACAGCGCTGTAGTAGAGAGCACTTTGGCAATGAAGGTTTACTAATCGCAAAAATAGTTCTATTCATAAAATAAAATTATAAATGTCTCAAATTCAATTTTATTATTTTTTAATTATAAAACTAAACTATCATAACCTAACCGAACTAACCAAACTTGCTGATAAAGAAATAATATAACAAAAGTTTTGTAATTGGAAAAATAATTCTGTTTATTAAATAAAACTAGAATTGTCTCAATTAAAATTTTGTAATGACTTAATAATAAAATTAAACGGTAATAACCGAACCAAACCAACCAAACTTGCTGATAAATAAATCTTGGACAAAAAGTTAATGCTACCAGCAGGATTCGAACCCGGGACCTACGGCATATCAGCCCGGTACGCTAACCATTAGACCACCGAGGCCGATGGCTACCGATCGTTTTGTTACGGTAATGGCGTTCCCTCAGCTAATAAGAAGCCCACAGCTGTCATCGTGGCCTCTTCTATACCTCCCCTGAGTAAAAACCGGGGAGGGTCGATTGAGGCATTAGTTCAAAATTCCTCCGTGAACAGCGCTGTATTAGAGAGCACTTTGGCAATGAAGGTTTACTAATCGCAAAAATAGTTCTGTTCATAAAATAAAATTGTAAATGCCTCAAATTCAATTTTATTATTTTTTAATTATAAAAAAACTATCATAACCTAACCGAACTAACCAAACTTGCTGATAATGAAATAATATAACAAAAGTTTAGTAATAGAAAAAATAATTCTGTTTATAAAACTAGAAATTGCTCAATTAAAATTGTATAATGACTTAATAATAAAATTAAACTGTCATAACCGAACCAAACCAACCAAACTTGCTGATAATGAAAAAATCTTGGACAAAAAGTTAGTGCTACCAGCGGGATTCGAACCCGGAACCTTCAGCATATCAACCCGGCACGCTAACCACTAGACCACCGAGGCCGATGGCGACATATCGTTTAGTTACGGTATTGGCGTTCCCTCTGCTAATGAGAAGCCCACAGCTGTCATCGTAGCCTCTTCTATACCTGCCCTGAGTAAATACCCCACAGTATGCTGTGGACTTTCTGTATTCTCGGTGGAATCCACAGTTCCACCGAGAATACAGAAAGCATTAAATGAATTAACTAGCTATAGAATTAATTTGTGTACTGTATTTTACTACAGTAGGGTCACGGCCGTCGGCCACCTTTAACTACAGGCCGCGGCCTGGTAGAATTGGTAACGTCGCAAGTAGTGTTGTTTAGTGACAGACGTCTCATAAGATAACATGGTAGACAGGTGACATCATCAGCTCATTAATTCGCAGTTTATTAAATTAATTTAATTAATTTAATTTAAATTAATGAATATAAATTTATTAAAATATTGAAAATAAAACATACAGAATTGAAAACAGAAACAAAATAAATTTAAAAACTCTATCTGTACATTTTTAAGCGGATTCAATAATTATTGTCATGGTTCAGTAACCAATCTTTCGTAAATACACAAATAATACCATTAGCTGCTTCCAAACAAAACAGCTGTTGCAACACCACTTGCGACGTTGTCACTTCGAAGGCCTCGGCCTGTAGGTGCGGTGGTAGGGTACGGTACTAGAGTGGAGTGTGGGCTGACCATGACTGACCAAAACTGACCTGACCTGGCGGTCGTTGTCGACTCAACGTCCCCAGCGACGGACTGGAACCACGGCCATCTTTAACTACAGGCACGGCCACCTTTAACTCCAGGCCGCGGCCTTCGAAGTGGCAACGTCGCAAGTGGTGTTGTAACAGCTGTTTTGTTTGGAAGCAGCTAATGGTATTTACGCCACACTACACTATTTTGACGAACTTCCCACGCAAGGATTTAGTACAGAAAACAGCTGTTTGCCGCCAGCAAATGGGGTTTCATTGCGTACTACTGTACTAATGAGTTTTGCCGGACACCAATCAGCCGATTATACTGTATTAGGGTGACAATGAGTTGTTATAAACAAAAACACTCAGGACTAGTAACATACTATTACGTATTTACGAAATATTGGTTACTGGACTATGACAATATTGACTTCGCTTAAAATGTACAGATCTAGGTTTCGGTTTTCAATTCTGGATGTTTTATTTTCAATATTTTAATAAATTTATGTTCATAAAATTTTATTTAAATCAATAAAGTGCGAATTAATTAGCTGATGTCCCCTCTGTCTGCCATGTTGTCTTATG